GTTGCAGAGAACAATCCGAGCTGAGGCAATGTTTCAGGATTCGCTCCGCCTTAAAGCCTTGCTTCCTATTGTCATTGCCATTGTAGCACGTGTGTAGCCCAGGCACGTAGGCGGTGAATTAGCGCGAAGCGGTGAAAGTCACCAGCTCAACTGGTGGAATGCCTTCAAAACCGGTTCACTGGAGTAAGAAAGGACCTGGCGCAGTTGGTAAGGCACAGAAGTTGCATTCCGGAGGTTGTGGGTTCAATCCCCATTGGCCTCACTGGGCAAGCTAGGTGTTCTACCAGCTAGAGATAACCCGTTGGTCTTCCAAGCCAGCGTTGGCAGGACCTTGGCCACTATTGCTGGTTGCTATGCAGCAATGATATTGGCCATTAGACACTGCTAATGTGGGGTTGGAGGGGGGTAGGGGGAGGTGCGAGTGACAGGCCAAAGATGCTCCGGCACTAGCATCGCTGGTTTCCCTGGTCGGCAATGCCCGATCACCCCGCATCATCGCGATGAGGGGCTGATACAAGCCTTGCTCTCGCACCACTGCTGTGGTGCCAATCTACCCTGTGGGCCCGTGGGCTGGGGAGAGTTCGAGGTTCGAGGTTGGCGTTCCCCCGTACTATACACAGAGTAGCGAGAGGATGAGACAGATGACGGAAATATATACAAAGAACATTGAGAGAATAATATAGATTAATTTAAAAAAAAGAAAGAAAAAAAGAAAGACGAAAGGAACGTTTCTGACGAGTGCCCGCCAGCCCTTTGGGTTTCAGGGCTTCACTGTAATGTTCCCACTTTCCAGAATGTATCTGGCTGCACTTTGGCACCTTCGTGGATGAATCTGAGGGCAATCACATTCAGAGCTTGGTTTCCCTTTTTCTTTTTATGCAAGTCGCAACTAATATTATTATAACATAAAAGTCATTGAATGAGGCCGGGAATCCCTCAACATCTCAACCCGTTAGTGAAGCTTGTGCTGGAAACCGGGTCTAGCGTCCCATGGTCTGCAACCTGCAACTCCAAAGAAAGTGAGCAACTGGACCAAATCATCATCATCATCATCATATGAGGGAAGCTGAGCCTGGTTCTCAGCATATTCTGTTCGGTCACTCCGGGTAGACTGTGAGGACCCCGGCGGCCCGGCCTCAATCTTCTTATTGGTAATATCAGCCTTGGGCACTGGGCCTATTTATTAAAAAAAAAAAAAAGCAAAACAGCCAAGAACTACAGTAACTGAGGAATTCATCTTCCGGGTCTCCTGCTAGCTTCGCTTCAAGATCTTACAGAAAAGAGACCAAGTACAGATCTGTAATGGTTTCCCTTTTCCCCTTTGCTCTTTTTCTTTCTCCGTTTTTTGGAAGAAGATTCTCGGCTGTTTGTGCTCGACTCCCGGGAGCATTCGATGCCTCCCAGCCCTTCCCATTTCAGGGCTTCACAGTAACGTTGCCACTTTCCAGAATGTATCTGGCTGCACTTCGAGGCCATAGCGGATGAACCTGAGGGCAATCACGTTCAGAGCTTACCCTTCGTTCTTTTTTTCTTTTTTCTTTTTTGGAAGAAGAGTCTCGGCTGTTTGTGCTCGACTCCCTGTGAGAGGCGGGGAGCATTCAGTGCCTTCCAGCCCTCCCCATTTCAGGGCTTCACTGTAACATCGCCACTTTCTAGAATGTATCTGGCTGCACTCCGGGGCCGTAGTGGATGAATCTGAGCGCAATCACATTCAGGCTTGGTTTCCTTTTTCCCCTTTGTTCTTTTTTTTGCCCCCCTTTTTGGAAGGAGATTCTCCATGGCTACGATCCGGACGTCCGGACCGCCGTCCAGACGGTCTGGATTCAGTCCGGACTCCAGACGTCCTGTCTGGAAGGTCCGGATCTGTCAAATTTCGAGGGGAAAAAAAAACAAAAAAACGGTCCAGGACCCTTCCCCATTGAGGAGCCAAGCCCCCAAAGTTGTTTTGGGCGTTTTTCAGGACCAGTTATGCTTTTTTGGGGGGTCCGGGCATGCTCTCTCTCTATAACAATTTATTAGACAACCCCAATTTTTAAATTATTAATAATTCATTACCTATAATTTGTTTTTTAAGTCTTTTTTAAAGTGTTTTTTATAGTTTTTGACTTTTAACTCAAGTTTGGTTAGGAATTCTGACATGACTCTGAGGCAAAAGTGGTTTGCATTGTTATTCTGGATAACATACTTTGTTTTCAGATTTTTTTATTTTTATTTTTTTTAATGGTCCGGACATTTTCGGACCTGTCCAGATATCCGGACCGTCCGGATCCCTCCATGTTCAGAGGTCCGGAAATGCCCGGAGTTCCGGACGTCCGGAAACTACCGGACACGGGTCCGGTTCCGTGTCCAGCGTAGCCATGAGATTCTCAGCAGTTTGTGACGTGACTCCCCATGGGAGACGGGGAGCAAAGAAGTACCTGCCAGGCAGTGCCAGCCAGCTCTTTCTTCCTTTTTTAAAAAGGTAATCTATATTCTTCTCTCAATCTTCTTTTTGTATAAATTATATTTCATCCTCTCGCTACTCTATGTATATCTGGCTGCACTTCTGGCAAGGCTTGGGGTGCTACAGGAATGGAAACAAGAAAACACCCGCCTCTTTACGTTCCAGCTGCTGGCAGCAGGTCCAGCGTAAGGGGCGATAGATACCTCTGCCAAGCAACAAATGTCCCATATTGGTCCCCGGCCCCTGCAGGCTTCGAAAAATATGGCGCGCACTGCGCAGGGCATTTTCAGGCTTGGCATCAATAGCTGAGAAGCTGAGAAAGGCACTGGTGGTTTAAGCCGAACAAGTGCACATGCGAAATCAGATCTTTTTGCCAGACATCACCAGCTTTTTCAAATTGGTTGGCTGAGCCCTGAAGGACACGGCATGTTAACGGCCACGCCAGAACAAAATAGCTGGGAATGGGAAACAAACTGGTGGTTTGAACCACCAGTACCTTGCCCAGCTATTAAAGAAGAGCCTGAGAATGCCTTGCATGCCCAAAAAATTGAACCGCCAAGGGCCTCATTTTGGCTGGCTATGCCAGCCATTTTGGTCTGGCCCACCGACCCCGAAAGTTGCGGCCATATACGAGCTGCATATTTGTTTTTAAATCGGGGAAAGGCTTTCCCAGCTATCAAGTCCGAGCCTCCCGCTACCTGTATGCCGAGCCTTGCCGAGCCTAGAGCTACCGGTAGGGGGAAGTACTCCATTAAACCACCACTGCCTTTCTAATATGTGGGGCCGCGGGCCTCAAATTCAAATGCAGCCGTCACCCGCCGTCGATGAAAAATATCAACGGCGGCATGGCGGCTATTTTTCAGGAGTAGGCTACTAGATGCCCACGGCCGACGTAAGGGAAAGGTAGTGGTGGTTAAAAAAAAGAAAAAAGGATTTTAGTCTCATTCTACTTAAAAAAAGAAAAAAAAAGGAAAACAAAGAAATGAAAAGAGGGAACATGAGAGAGAGAGAGAGAGAGAGAGAGAGAGAGAGAGAGAGAGAGAGAGAGAGAGAGAGAGGTTGTTGTTGTGTGCTGTTTGCCTTGTGTCGTTTGTTTGTCCACCGGCCTCCCCCGTGCCCTCCATCCTGTGTCCCTTGTTGCGGCTTGTCGTTCTATGCCTTACTGGTTGTGTCTTGTGTGCCCTCGACCTTTCAAGCTTGGGATTGTATGATTTTTCTGTCTTCCGTATGCCTAGTGGACTTGCAGTGCTACTTTAAGGGTTGCCTATGGACTTGACTCACTCAGATGCGTGTTTCCTCCTGAAGTATTGTGTCAGTACAGGGCACAGTATCTGTGCCGGAGATGTTCGCCATGTGTATTTGCACACACATCAACACACACACACACACACACACATGAGTCGGTGAAAGTCCGACGAAACAGTCTGGTACAGTCATGCTTTTTTTGAGTGTATAGCGAATATGACAACACACACACAGAGGCATGCGCTCGTTCCGGCGCCGTTTGTACCCCGCGCCATTCCGTCCTTTCTTTTTATCTTTACTTCGTTTTTGTTGTTTTTTTCGTTTCTCTTCGTTTTTTTGGGTTTTTTTTTTGTATTTCTTCCGCTCATTTTGTGGCCCAGGTCGTTCAGTGGCAAGCGGGCGCTCCTTTCACCGACCTGCCGTGTTAACCAGCGGGGAATAGTTTTTCAAGCGGGAAAAGGTACTGGTGGTTTACTGAAACAAGCCAGCTGCCTCCCATCGCTCTGCCCACAGCAAAGAGAGGGGGTCATGGAACTCAGGAAAAAATGCAAGACTGAGTGCAACTGCATGGACTGTGTGCCATATCTGCTGTGGCACTCCGCGTGCTGGGTGCTATGTACACTGGGTGGCACCACACAGGCTGGCTGCTATGTCTGCCGGGTGTTACCACATGGAGTGAGCACCAAGTGCACATGGTGCTATGTGCTGTGGACGCTATGTGCACTGGGTGGTCCTATGTGGGCTGAGCGCTATGTCTGCTCAGTGGTGCTATGTGGGCTGGGCAGGACGATGTCGGCGGGGGGCTGAGTGCTATGTGGAGTGGGTGATACTCCATGGAGTGGATGATACTATGTGGACTTGGTACATGAGGTGGGTGGTTGTATGTTGGTGGGTGATACTATGTGAGGTCGGTGGTTCTATTTCGGTGGGCGGTACTATGTGAGGGGGGCGGTACTCTGTGTGGGGTGGGTCGTACCATGGAGGGTGGTGGTTGGTACACAGGTAAGTGAGCTGTTTCTTTCTCTATTGAAGAAAAGAGCCCTTATCTACTTGCCTATGCACCTAGATTCCCCCTGAAAACCTGTGAAGAGCAATTGAACACCTGTGTAAGCAAGCTTTATTGGAAAAAATAAAACAAAAGAAGAACTCCTATGTAGGGTTGGTCCTGGTTTGCCATTGGACTTAAGAGTACAAAGCATCCTCAGCCATGGCAGTATTTGAATGGCTTTGGGGCTTTAACTGCTGGAGTGACTAGCAACCAGTACCCCGGGGTGACGCTGGGCATTAGCTGCGCAGTGCTCTCTGGTGTATGGGTGTCATTCAACACTCCTCGGGGACGCGATTCCGAGGATTCCATCGTCGTTCCCCCTGTCCTCGGAGCCGATTTTCGGAACAGAAATGGGAAAACACTCCGAGGACAAATCCTCGGGCTCCGCGGACAAATCCTCGGGTTCGGAGGATTTCCCAGCCAAATCGTCCTCGGCTCCAAGGGACCTCGCGAGGTCCTTTGGAGCCCGAGGATCCGCGATTATTGGGGTGCCGGCGGCGAGTCCAGAAGGGAAAATGGAGGTCGAAGGTGGTCCAGTGGTGGTCCACCGGCCGGAAGACGGACATCGCGGGCCGTCCTCGTCCAAAACGTCCACCAACGGCCTCGTCGTTTTACTGTTGGCAATGATTGGCGGTACGGCCCTGTCGGTTCGTCGGGCGGCCCCACGGTGGTGCCGTGGCGAGCATCAGACGTCTTCGGCCGGCTCCTTGAGGGGTCTTGGCGTTCCCGCGGGCTTCCCAATGGTCAAAAATACGGATTTTGTAAGCGTCCTCCCCCAGCCGGTGCTTGCAGCAATTTCGTACGTTGGCGTCTTCCCTCTCGCAACGTGTGTCTCCAGTCGCCGCGATTGCGACAGCGCAAGTGCATGTTCCGTCTCGGCTGCCCTGTCGTTCTTGGCTGACCTGTACCGCAGGCTGCCTTTGCTGCTGCTCGTCGCAGTGCTGCTGCTTGTCGTTGTCGTCTTTCATATCTGCTTCCTCGGTCGCGTCCCTAGGAGGAAACAGACGCGGCAAACGCCGAAGAGGGCCAGGAAGATGGAGAAGCTACAGACGAAGACCACGCTGTCCGTAGGGGCTGGGCGGTCGTCACGTCAGAGTTGCAGTAGTGCGGAAGGCGGCAGGCGACCGTACGACCCAACGCCGTACAACCACCTGTCGTCCCACGAGATTCCGTTGCCTCCGAGTGACGACGACGACAACGACCCCCGATCCTCAACGGTTCCTTTGGGCAGCGGTTCGACGCAGGATTGGATGGGGAGCAAACTGTACAGACAGGCATCGAGGCCGACGTACACTGATCTGCTGGAGGGGCGGACCTCGGTTGGTTATGACGCAGGACCCGTAGATCTCAGCTTCGGTTTGAGGTCTGGGAGTGTCGAGGACGTGACACACACCGTTCTCGTGAACCCAGCTTCTGGCACCAACCACACACCGCCTTCAGTGAGGGCGTCGGCCCTTCCGGATAACTGCGCCTGGTGTTCTGGTCAGTCGGGCGACGAACGTGGACTCTTTTCGCCAAGGTGGGGGGCAATGGGCACAGCAGGTGTGGCCGCGTCGAGGACGAGGACAGGTGGATCTGCTCCCTGTGGATCGACGACGCCAGGCGGCACAATCGACGGACGAGGGGACGACGATGAGTGCTCCGCTACGGAGGTCGTGGGACGAAAGGTTTGGGATAATCATCGGCGACAATCGCGTCAAGCGAGCACGTCCAGCATAACAAGAGGGGTGGCGAAGATTAATGTGGGGGCGAACGATATATTCGGCGATTGCGATGGTGCAGGGGGCGAAGATTGCGCGGCAGATGACGGGGGCAATGACAACGACGAGGACGACGACGGGGAGATGGAGATTCGTCCAGTAGGGAGGAAGCGGGGAGGGTCAAGGGCCACAAACAAGTTTACAGAACCGCGCGCGGGGCAGAGAGGCAAGAAGGGTGTGGAAGATACGTCGGCAGGCGAGGGAGCAAAAAGAAGGGATTTTTGGATCGTGGAGCACATGATTGCTCTAATCCGAGCTAAAAGAGACCAGGATTTGCATCTGGCCGGCCAGGGGCACAACAGCGGAAGGATGAAGACGAAGACATGGAAGTGGGACGACGTTGAGAAGAGGCTCGTGCAGATGGGGGTGACGAGTAGAAAGGTCGTGGACTACAGGAAAAAATGGGACAACCTGTACCAGCAGTTCAAAACGGTGCACAAGCCCACGTGGAGGTCGGAATGAATGGGCGGTAGTGAGGGATGCGGGGATGGTCAGGACGGCGATCAGGGATCGACGAGGGATTCAACGTTCAGCGGCGGTGGTGGTGGCGGGGGCGGCAAACAGAAGAATGTAAGACAGCAGACCTTCGACACGATTGCGGACGTCATGAAGGAGCACGCGAATCTGATGGCGACGACGGTGGACAGCGCGAGCAAGAGGCAGTGCTCAATTCTAACGAGGCAATGCGACATTCTCGAGCGAGAGCTAGAAGTGCAGAAGGAGCACTACGTGAAGGCCGACCAGGCGAACTTCATGATGTGCAATGCCCTTCTGGAGATTGCTAAAGCGATCCGCGAGCGATCCTAACGTCGCTCGGCCACACATGTCCGACGTCCACGCAAATGCCACGTGTGCACTTCCAGAGCATCGCTGTCGTCGTCGTCCTGCATGCTGCAGCGCGGTGATGGGCAGGTTGTGTAGAGACGACGGTTCGTTTTTGCCCGCACAATTTTTTTAAGCGTGGATTTGTTTAATGACTGTGAAGGGTATTCATTGCTGTCATGCCCTGCGGCGCGTCCTTCGGTTGTGGTCCTCCGATTTTGTATTTTGTTTAACGACTGGTGTTGTGAGGCGTTGCCGTCATGCATGGATGGCGATCTATCAGGGTCTTCTTTGGGGGTGTCGGAGAAGGCATAGGTGGCAGGGTGTGTTTTTCGGGCGGGCAGGGAAAATGGTGGACAGGGGTGCCTCGAGTTTTTGGGGGTGGCGGACGAAGGATACGTGGCGGGCTCTTTCGACCTCCCCCAGGGTCCTCCTGCGCGCCCACATGCGTTGTTGGCCATACGAGGGATCACCAGCAGCCGACGGGGAAAATGGTCCGTGCACGATCGGCGAAGGGGCGGGCTGTTGTGGACGGCGAGGCGTGTCCATGGTGTACTGCGAGAGCGCGCTATGTACAAAAGGAGAGCCCAGGTGCCATTCCGTACCGCAGTGATTCAGTTCCCACGGCTCCAACGGTACCGTCTGTGCACTGAGTCGTCGTCGCACGCCTGCACATCCGCTTCGCTGCTCCATGCTTCCGCTTTGGGCTCCGCGGGCAGTGCCCCTTCATGCGCATCAAGCACGTGCTCCTTTGTGGTCGCCATCATTGTCGCGGCTTCGCGGCCAGTGCCCCTTCATGCGCATCATCCACGTGCTCCTTCGTCCACATGCCCGTCGTCGACCTCGACGCGTCCTCCGTCCACGTGCTCCTTCTTCCACGTGCTCCTTCTTTCACGTCCTCCCTTGTCCACGTGCTCTTTTTCGGTCGCCATCATTGTCGCGGCTCCGTGGCCAGTGCCCGTTCATGTGCATCATCGACGTGCTCCTTCGTCCACGTGCCCGTCGTCGACCTCCACACGGCCTTCGTCCACGTGCTCCTTCATTCACGTCCTCCTTCGTTCACGTGCTCTTTGTTTCCGAGTTGCGGGTGAGATGGTCCCAAGGAGCACCTTAGGGAAGGGCAGGAAAGATAGCGGAGTAGGGGAGGGGGGGGGAAACCCAAAAAGGCAGAGGCCACGTGTCAAAGTTGAAAGGTAGCGCGTTGATGAGGCGAGCTCCAAACACACTGACGGCTTTCAGGCAGACGAAGCGGTGATGGTGGATGCGCAAGGGACGGCAGGGGCGATGCAATTGGGTTTTGGGCGGGATGGGGTGTCGAGGGAACAACAATCCGCTCTCCAAACAGAGCGTCGTTGTCGGTGCTGCTGGGGCGTTGCCAAGGACCCCGAAGGCAGCAGGGCCCGACAACTTCCTGCAGGGGTTGTCATCATGGAGGCGTGCGTGCCGAGGCAACTTCCGGCGGTGGTAGGCCAGGGTCAGCCACGTCAGCCACTCCCCCTACAACAGGCGGGGACTTCAGGGGGAGGGAAAACATTGTCCGTGCAAAAGGGCGAGGCAACAACGATCGACAGTGGGACGGCGGCAGCGGATCACACCACTAGAAGTGGACTCGCCGAAGGTGCGGAAGAGGGGAGGATCGACGACGTTCACCGCGACGATGGGAGAAGAGATGGAAAGCGGGAGGGCGATGACAAGGACGACCGTCCACTTGTTACGAGGTTGAAGGGAGCAGCAAAGGAGGATGATCTCGAAGAGAGGTCGAAGTTGTGGGTTGATTGCGACGCTTTCTGGGGTCAGGGCCAGGGGAAACCCTTCAGGGAGGCGGTAGGTGACTGCGCGGACTACTTCGTCGCCATCGCTACCGGAGACGGAGGAGCTGAACCGCCTTCGATGCTCATAATGCCATCGAATGATGTGCCGTGCTTCAAGATCGAGGACCCTGCGCAACGTGAACCAGCTCTGCGCAGAGCGCGCAACATGGAGAAATTGGTGTTGCGCACCATCCACGGTTGGATCTTCAAATCGTCATCGAGGTCAACTGCCTTCGCTCGTGCAGAGTCGTACATCACCATCGACTTTGCTATAGACGTTGCACGAGCAGTTTGGCAGGGATTTGAATGGTCCAAAGTGGTTTCCCCTGCCCTTGTCTACCACACGCTGGCGATGAAGATGGACGTGCCTTTGTGGTTCGCAGGGGTGAAGGTTGTGGACCGACCGGAAGACGACGACATGGCGGCGCGGCAGGAGGCGACAGTTCTTCACCTGGTGGACTGCTGGACAAATGCAGTCTGGTGCGGACAATGGGCGGACGGTGGGCGCGTGAAACAGGAGAGGTTGTCGCGACTTGCGGATTGTCTTCGAGCGTTGTGGAGCGCGTGCATGTGGATCATGCGCATGGGTGGTGATGACGACCGTTCGCACTACGAGGCGTGGTTCTACACGTCCATGGTCGCCAAACCCACAATGATAGCGGCGGGGTCCTACATCTTCAACTGGCGGCGATACATCGTCGACACCGCCAACCTCGTCTTGGATCGTCTAGGGAAGGCCCACCTGACGCTGGGAGATTACCCGCATTGCATTCCGGAATGGTCTGATTGCGAGTTGGTGTTCGGGCACAACGCGGCCCTGAAGAATGCAGCGGAAGCCGCAAAACACGGCTGGATCGGCAGCGGGCCCGCGGCGGACGACGATGGAGATGAGGGCAGTTGACCCGTCGGTTCGTCCGTAAGGCAGCGGCGGGGTGCGGATCGTCGACGGATTGGCTCGTGGGATCACGGAACGACGAACTGTGCGCCTTCAACTGCAGACGCTAGCGCACGGGCGGGATGGGTGTTGGCGGGTGTTGGTGGTTGAGCAGGGGGAAGGTGAGCTGGCCGGTCCTGCGCAGCTCCAACGGTGTGGCGACGTCAGCAGATGGCAGGATTGACAGTGCGCAGTCCAACGGCGTGGCGACGTCAGCAGATGGCGTCGTAGTAGATGTGTTGTGAACGCTTTATTCCTTTTTTTTTTTTTTTTTTTTTTGTGATTGGAGCACACTTTATAGTTGTGCTCCACAAAAGGGTTTCTCAGCTCAGTGGATGACACCTCCGAAATGTACGTAAACGGCAGGAATAGTCCGTCTTTGGTGTGGTCCGCTTGGAGGGTGGATAGTTAGGAGAAAAGCGGATCGTCGCCTGAACATTGTTGTGTTACTGAATGGATTTCCTCAAATTTATGTTTTTGTGTCGACGATGTGTGTTTGCATGCGTATGATTGCTTACGCAGTACTGCTTTTCTTGTAATCTATGTGGGTTTATCATGTAACGCATGCGTTAATGGCCATCGCATTCTCGTCCACATCTTCTTATGTATGCGGCCCTTTATTCGATATTAGGAATCGCGGCATCGTTATTATCGCCGACACCTGAGAAAATAAAAGAAAACAAGGAAAACAGGAAGGAACCTATCCACACACTTTCATTGTCATCTTTTTGTGTTTGCTGCCCATCTTTCCGTTCATAATGCCATCGCTAAATCGTGATGATCGCCGGCACCGGACGAAAGCCAAAAAAAAAAAAAAACATCAAAGGAAGGTCACCACACAGTTGCCGAAATAACCAATCTGTCGTGAGTTTTTCTTTCATTTTTTTTCACTGCATATAAGTCGTTAGTGGAACAACGAAGCTTCACCGACTGACTTTAGCAAACGCAGAGAAGTGCAGACGACATGCATGGCAGACGTTCCATGTAGTCGATAAGAACATGTGTCCTCGAAAGAAGGATAGCAGTTGAACGCACGAAGACGTCCTTACAGAAACATCATAAAAAACACATATCATTGAACTTCAAGGAAAATAGCGCTCTAAAGCACATGCGAAACAGCGGGCTGACGAACTGCTTCGTGCCACCCTTCACCTCCCGCCCTCCCCCCCTCCCCCCCCCATCTGATTTCCCGTCCCGGATTCAACGGAATTGCGCGGGAACACCATTTCGCCGACTACAACAATAAGGAAGACCAAAAAAACCACCAGACTACCGTTGCGGCGACTACAACAACAATGAAGCCGCGTCACTGCCAATGATCGACGAACTGGACAAGCAGTCTACCGTCGACGACAACAACAAACACCTAAAAACAACTTGTCCGCGACGACAAACCCTCCGAAGTAATTGCGCGCGTAAGTGAAAGATGCAAGCGCTGTGAATCGATGATGGCGGAACACGACTTCAACGAAGAAGTCTTCTACGAGAGAAATAGGCAGGCGGTAGGCAGGATCACACCGTTTCATTCGCTCCGCCAGCGCATTGCAAAGCGCGTGTGCAGCGTGCGTCGAAGTCAACATCGTCACTGGCTGCGGGGGACGATGAATCCCCAGGTCCAGTCGGCGCCTCACCCCGTTCTCGTCGACCTCCCACAACATATTCTCATCGAACTCGATACCGGCATCGAGCAGGATGTTATGGAGAATGCAAACGACCGTGCAGTGCTGCGGTAGAGTGTCGAGGTTCRTCTTGTGCGTCCACATGAAGAGCCTCCACATCCCCTTGAACCTCCCGAACGCCCTCTCCACAGTCCCTCTTGCGACCTTCTGCTTCGTGGCGAAC